ATCGGTATCCGCTTGTGAATCTGCCAGAAGCCATGCTCGTCTTTGCCCAGGCACCTGGCAGGTCCATGCCATCGGGTATGTAGATTTCTCTTTAGATGGTCCGATCGCCAGAACAATTCTCCTCGCTGGAAGGGCCCTGGCTGGGGCCTTGTCCTTGCCAGCACTGTCCGCCTCAGAGCAGATGAGTTAGCCGCCATGAAAAAAAGGACTCCGAGCAGATCCGCTGAAAGTGTAGTCGATTCCAGAACGGTGCCCTTTCAGCTACCCTGGAAACTACTGCTGGGTCGTTCTCGGGATGCGCCAAACTCGCAGGTAGCCAATGTCCACCTCCCAGCACCCACTGCTGTGGTGAAACGCCCGCTGAGCTAACCAGCTGGCTGAACCCGTCGGCCATGACCGACGCTGCAGCTGCAACGGAATCTTGACCACGAATTTCTCCAGCAGAGAAGACACTCGTCGCCATCCCCTTTAGGTAACGCATCTTCCTCTCGACCTTGCCCACCTGCCAGTGAGCTTCTGGCGCAGCGCTGTTGATCGCCAGGCCAAGGGTGTCTCGAACTCGCCCATGAAGATAGAGTCCTGGCCCTGCTCAACCAGTAGGTGGCCCAGCCCAGGTCAGCCATCCAAGCTCGAAAGCTTGCTTAGCCAACTGTGCTGCCGGCCTTGAACCAGGACACGCGTAGATAGCCACTGTAAAACCCGACGCAATCTCCACGATCACGAGCACCACGTGCATATTATTGTCCATGCCGGGTATGATCATGAAACCCATGCCAATGGCCTCATTAAGGTCTCAAACATGTGGCTGGCATGCTGGAGGCCTCGCTGCCGTCCGAGCCTGCTCCGCACGCGCTGTGCATCGGAAGAGTCGCACTGCCTGCGCCGCTCGTCGGCCACCTCCACCGCGCTGCAAGCATCGTACCAATGACTCATTGTATGGGTCCGTGTGAATGGCTCTCGTGTATATTCTTGATAGCTGCTCGCATAAGTGGCGGTACCGCCGCCCATTCCGCCATCTCGATGCCGTCGCCGCGCTTGCTGAAGATCGTCGCTGCGCTCGCGTGCATGGGCGCCCCCACCTCTGCAGGATTGGACTCGATCTCGTCTGGCTCGACGCCCTCGAAGTTGTTGGCGCACCTGGCGCGCCCACCGCGGTGCTTCTCTGCGCCCCGCCGCTTCTCGATGCCGCCCATGATCGCCCTAACCAGGTTGGCCGCCCATTTGCCGAGACTCCATGCTGTTCCCTTCGGCCCGTTCATCGCGCTCGCGCTCGCGCGCGCGGTCGCACCTGACGTCGTTCAGCTCGGCGCCTAGCACGATGGCCGCAGTCAGGGGCCGCGTCGGCTTCTTGACGGGGCTGCTGCCTTCGGCGCACTGGTGCGTCATCGTGGCCACAAGGTCTGAGCCGAGCCACGGCATGAGCTTCCACGCCTTGGATGTCAGCGTGCCCCCCAGTAGCACGCGCGCTCCTCGACGCTTGCAGTTGGGCCAGATCTGCTCGACAAACCGCGGGTGCCCCATGGCAGTCGCTAGCTTCATCACCCTCGTCTTCCGCGGAAACATGTGCGATCTGCTCTTGAACGGGTCGCATGGGAAACCCACGATAGCCATGCGCGGGTCGCCCTCGCCCAGCTGCCCCAGCACTTTCTGATCTGACTTACTGTCCAGTAGGTCGCCCCTTATCAGGACGCCCCTTGGTCTCGTAGTAGGGCGCCGCCGCTGCTGAGCTTCAGACGTGGCCGCCATGCCATCAGCGTAGAGCTCACATATGATAGGCCGCTTCACCTCGGGGCCCGTCGCAGTGTCTCCGCGACCTGATGGCGCTGGTCCGGCTCGCCCTGCAACTCTTTCTCCCACGCCTCAAGATGTTTCCTCTGATTTCGCCGTTGGATGCCTTTGTCTATCTCTTGCACCTCCGCGGCCAAATGTCGATCTCATCCGTCGTGACTGATGGCATTATGTCGGTCGTTTCTGTATTCGGCCAGTCCTTGAGAGAGATCGTCAGGCGCCCCTTCTCGGTCTTGTTGAGCGGCGCCCCGCGCTTGTTGATCGCCTTGAAGTCCGCCTTCCGCTCCTTAGCGCACAGCGCTGTCTAGCTCCTCCAGCTGGCGGATGCTTGCTGAGCAGCACCGGCGCCTTCGATTTCGGCAACCTCTGGAAACGTGGATTCAGGCCCCTGCAAGCCCAGCTCTCACCTCCTGAGGGCCTTCTGCCATAACCGGGGCGCTATCACTCGCGCCTCGGAAGCGCATGGATGAGCCCCTCATCCTCGCAGTGGCCCTGCTGTCCTCAGCGTGGCCGCCCAACGCTAGTGGGCCTCCGCATCCACGTAGGCACGCCGTGCCCAGTACAGCATGCCCATCTGGAATAAGTCCTTTCCTTTTCGCGTGGGCCTCGGTCTCCTCCAGCCCCTCGTAGTCCACCTGCAGGCAAGATGATGGCACGCGATCCTCTGTGGACCTGTAGCACGTGTCCGTTCTGCGCCCCGTTCACAACCATGTCGGTCGCACTCCATGAGGCTGGCGCTCGCAGGTGCCCCTCACAATGTCTCGTAGTTCCGACGTACTGTCCCACGATGCTTGGCACAGGTCGCACGCCCGGTTCCTGAGCCCCTGCGGTGCCATCTCCATCGCGATGCGCATGAGCTGGCGGATAACGCGCAGTGCCCAGTCCGCACACCAATCCACGCGATCGCTGCAGGCTGCTTCCATGTTCTCACAGCTGACCCATAAAGCTGCGATCTGCGCTGCCCGACCTTTGATATTCTGTAGGTCTGCCGCAGCGTTATCTTCTGAATAATCGGTGCTCGATCTGCTGGGCCGTGTCTGTCCCGATCCAGATCCTGGCGCTTGGTCATCACTGCCCTCGGGATCTCGCGCGCCTCGGTCGTCTCCAAATGCTGGCGCCGCCCTGGTGCTCACGATCTGATTGTCGGTCTCGATCCCCGCCTTCGCCAGACTCGTGATCTCCCCCATTGTGGTCTCCATGTTCGCCAGCTGACCATTCGCGATGTGGATGGCAGTCACGCCCATTGAGCTATCCGCCATCAGTAGCTGCACCGCCGTCGCCATCGCAAACCCAGCACGTCGTAGAAAACCCCCAGGTCGCCCGCGGAAGCCTCGGCCACCACCTCGTCCTCAACGCTGCAGGCTGCTCGACGATCCACCACCTGATGGCCATGTCTTCTCGCGCTCAGGGTCTCCTTTCCAGCGGCCCTTCTTGCGCCGCGCATTGCACTCCGTGCGCTCCTTTATCTGATTTAGCTTCTCTTCGGCTTCCTTGCCGCCCATCTCGATGGATCCTTGCACGTTGATGTTGGCCACCCAGCCTCGATTAGACATGCTCTGCGCAAACCCCTCCGGGGCCTGCTTGCAGTTGGGCTCGCGACATGTCCGCCCAGCCTTCCACCCGAGACGCTGTGCCTCAGCCGCCAGAGCTTCGCACTCCCCCTGGCTGGTCTCCACGGGGCCGACCTCGTCAATCACCCCCTCGAACTCGTCGATGCCGACTGCCAGCGCGTCGCAACCTTCACCGCTCAGAAGCCCGTCCTCGTCGCGCACGCCACACTCGCATCCGAGTAGGGCTTCCTCCTCGCCATCGTCGCAGTCCGCTGGGCATGCCCCATAACGTCCGTGACCGCGATCGTCTCAACACGTCGTGTCCAGCTGGATGAGCATCGCCGCCGCCACGTCATCCAATATGCACTCATTGCTGCACTGCCCGAGAATAGCCTTGTGTTCGGCCATGCTGGCATTGGCCAACTTTAGTAGGAAGTACGCCCGCAGGTCTTCGCTCACTGTCGCACTCGCTGATAGAGACCTGAGCCGCTCATACTTCTTCTCCCGCCTCGAGATGTAGCCCTGCACACATTCCGACCTGTTGCGCACACCTTTGAAGAAGCACTCCTCGAAAGCTTGCTGCTTCTGTAGTGGGGCGATCCTCTCGCACGCTCGTCGCACTGTTGCCACCACCAGCTTCAATGCAGGTGGGTCTTCACCTGCTTTGTCCAACACGGCTTGCGTCGCAATCTCGCCCCCCTTCTTCGCGAGGTTCCACGCTCGCCCATTTAGAGAATCATTGAGCTTGATCGCGTAGAGCTTATGCAGCTTCTCTTCGCCCGCATAACAGCCGGGGATCGCGCACTCCTCGAACTCCTCGCCGTAGGCTGGGTCGCCGCTGTAGTGTGCGACGCCCTCTTCTTCCACGGAGACGGGTCCGTCGTTGGGCTGCTGTTGCCTGGTGACCATCTTGTCTGTAGAGATGGCATTGCCGTCTATGATGATAGTGCCGCCGTCTCTGAAGATGGCGCCGCCGTCTCTGAAGATGGCGTCTCCGTCCAGCGCGTGGTAGATATCGTTGTCCCTGCTGCTGTCCGGGTCGTGGCAACGATTCTCGGCCAGGCTGCAGGTGATGATGTTCAGCGTGTTGATCGCTGATGGGAGTGCGCAGTGGTAAAGCACTACGAGAATCTTGAGCGCCAGCATATATATGCACGGCCGCTCACAATATGAATCTCGTATCCCCGTACTCAATCTCAGGCGTGAATAGGTGCGTCCACCCTCCCGCCCAACTTATGATCCATAACGGCCACCGGCGGAAGGGAAATATAATTCATTACCATCCTAAATATCACATCCTCGCCCGACTGATTTTCACCCTCCCCCTCCTCCTCCTCCTCCTCCTCCTCCTCCTCCTCCTCCTCCTCCTCCTCCTCCTCCTCCTCCTCCTCCTCCTCCTCCTCCTCCTCCTCCCTCCTCCTCCTCCTCCTCCTCCTCCTCTCCTCTATGAGTATCCTCCTCCTCTCTCCTCCTCCCTCCCTCCTCCGCCTCATCCTTCTCCTCCTCCCCCCCCCCCTCCTCCTCCTCCTCCTCCTCCTCCTCCTCCTCCTCCTCCTCCTCCTCCTGGTTCCCCCCTCCTGGACCCCCTCCTCCCCCCCCCGTCCTCCCGCAGGCCGCAGGCTGCACGCCGCAGGCCGCGGGGCGGGGCTGGCGAGCGGGCGCCTCTGGGCGCGCCAAGAGCTCGCTGAGAAGCGCGTAGCCGTCGTTGCGCACGTACTCCATACCCTCCTGCGAGGGAGAGCGAGGGGCAAGGAGGGGGGGACGGGAGGGGGGGAGAGGCAGGAGGGGGCAGGATGGGGGGAAGGGACGCGGGGGGAGGGCAACGAGGGGGAGGAGGGAAGGAGGAGGAGAAGGAAGAGGAGGAGGAAGAGGAGGAGGAGGAGGAGGAGGCGAGGCGGCGGCAGCGGAGGAGGAAGAGGAGGAGCCAGAACCCAAATCGACTGGTCAACGAAACACCGAAGACGCCCGAAAAATCTGAACCACGCGGGACCATGCCACCGAAACCGAATCGGCGCGACCGAACGAGAAAGCCAGTAGGCATGGCCCCAATGGGTTGCCTGTGTGGCGCCACGTTGCGCAGAGTGCACGGCTCAAGCGGCGGGGACTCACCAAGCACCTCCTGCGGCGGAGGAGGGGGAGGAGGAGCGGAAGACGAGGAAGCAGGGTGGAGAGGGGAGACGAGCGACACGCCCATTCTGGGGTGAAGCACCGAAAGCAGCTTGGCCAGATCAGCCAGGTTGTTTCCTTTTGGGGCGCTCCTCCGTCGAGAAGCCCTGACATCCCTGCCGAAGCTTGCACCTGGGGCCCACGCGCAATCCGGGTGAGAAGGAAGCGCAACATCGGCAGACGAGCGCATGCCCGACCTGCACGACTCGGTGGCCTCGCTCGAAGAAGCAACTCATGTCGATGAGGGGGGGGTCGGCACGACCGCGCTCACAGGCGGCTCACCCGACACAGCCTCCTCCCCGTCGACCTGAAGGGCGGACGCGGCCAAGAGCGCAAGCCCTACCGTGGCGTCCGCTCCCTCGTGAAAGAAACGCCCCCACCTCCTGGCATCCTCCAGGTACAAGGCCGCTCCGAGCCCGCGCTCGGGCGTTGGCTCACACAGTCCGCGCGAACGATTCCGAAGAGAGCGAAGCGTGAGCCCAGTGCAAGCTGAACGATTGCACTCCTTGCAGCGCACCACGCTAGTGTCCAGAAAACGTACAATATGATGCTGGGACGATTCTAGGAGTGCCGCTCGCGGGCCGCTGGCAAGCCGTTTGCCCCGCTCCTGGCTACAGAGACCAAGCGCCGCAATTCTGGCCACAGCCAGTCCCAGGCAACGAGCATGAGACTGCGCGGCCCCGACCTGGAGACCAAACCCGTCGACGTACTTCTCTGGCAACGCGTGGGAGAGGGCCCCGAAGCGGGCAAAATAATCTGCCCGCGCATTCCCTTGCACGTCTAACACTGACGCTCCTTTTTCCAGCGCGCCGACGATCGTGAGGTGCGACGGGACCCAAGCAAAATCAGGCCGACCTTTTTCTGCCACAGCATGAAATAGCGAGCGCCACACGCATGGGCAGGTGCCTCTGGAAGAGGCGAGGCCAAGGTTCCACCCTCGACCTTCCTGCACAAAGCTGCGCAAATCACTGACAATCAACCGCGCGCCTGGAAAGAGATGCACAGCTCGGAGGCCCACCACTCTCAGCTCTGCCGACGGACTGCAAAACTCCCGGAAGGCCGCCACATGCTGCTCTGAGTGGCACGCCGCGGACATCCACCTGCACGCAGCTCCAGCCGCCACGAGTGTACTCGGAAGTTCAGTTCCCGAACCCCGAGCCGTCCGCGTAGACGACACCACCCCATCCTGCCCGATTCGACGACCAATCACCCCAGAACGCAATTGGCGTGGAGTCAGGGACGGGAGCGGTCAAGCTGGTTTCGACAGGAAGGCCGATCGCAATATCAAACCTGTCCCAGCACGTACCGAATCCTGAAAAACCCTTCTCTCTCAGCAACCCTTCCGCGACAAAAAGAGAGTCCGATAAGGGCTGCTCCTCCTCCTCCTCCTCCTCCTCCTCCTCCTCCTCCTCCTCCTCCTCCTCCTCCTCCTCCTCCTCCTCCTCCTCCTCCTCCCCATGGCAGGCCAGGAGGGGGGCACAATCAAAGAGCTCATGCCCCACGGTGCCATGCGGGGCGCCGCAGGCCTGGCACGTGGGTGAGGCTTCAAGCCCATGGCGATGGTGCCGCTCTCGGGGCCAACGCGCTCTTGGCCAGATCGTTCGCAGGCCGCCGGCCGCCCCGCGTCGGACCCCTCCCTTCTTCCGCAAGCATGCCCTCAAGCACCGGTGCCACAATCGGAGACCACCAGGATTGCGGTCGGGACGGTGCTCCCAAATGTGCCGATGCTGCCAGCGCTCAATACCAGCTATCAGGAACTGCTTGAAATCTCTCGGAGGGGCGGGCAAAGAATGCGTAGTCTTAAGTCAGGCATGTCCCCCTACAGGCGGATTTGGGACGAAAAAAACAAAATACTCAAAAAGTGCCCCAAAATGGTTAAAAATAATCAAAAAATCGTCCCCATGCGATTTTCATATCATTTTTTGAACATTCACCCTGTAGAGAGGCGTGCCCGACTCAAGCGTAGTCCCCAGATCATCCTGGACAAGGGTGGAGGAGACCATGGACCACCCGAGACGCCTGAGAATTAGAAAAACACTGGGCAGCGGACCCCGGACCCCACGCCACGCAGATATGGTCACCAAGCGAGGCCCCAAGAGCCGCCAAGCCCTTTCCAAGTTTCCCGAGGGAAAAGACTGATCCCAGGTAGCCCGCACACACTGCATGACGGGCTCAAGCCCGCAATGAAAAACAGGATCCGAAAAACGATCCGTCTGAGTGCCTAAGAATAAAGCGATGCCACTGCTGCTGGCTCCAACAAGGGATGCGGCCGCGTGCCGGAGCTCGCGCAAGCGGGCATCAAGGGCCCCAGAGACTGCCGCGCCATGAGCGACCGAACAAATCAGGCCAGTCCTCCACAAGCAGGGAAAGCACTCTGTGCCAGCGCTGTCGGAGTCTTCCAAACCGCACCCCCTCCCAATGGCGCCTCCGCCCCGCCCCAGGAAGCTCGTGGCCGAGGTTGCACATGTGGCGCCGCTTTTTCAGCTTGAGCGCAGACGCACCGAGGCGAAACCCTTTGGCTGCCCGGGGCGCTGCAGAGATCAACCCACTTTGGGCGGGCTGGAGGAGAAAACCGAGGGGCCTCACCTCCTCGCAGAAAACAGTAGCAGCAGGGAATAAATCGCGCGCCTCAGCAGAACGCTGGCCCAGCCATTGCAGACCAACGTCGTCGATGAGGCACCTCGGGATGACCGATTCCGAAGAAGCACTGCAACCAACGTGGTGGCATGAGCGCATCCTGCCAGCACTCCCTGCCAAGAGCGGCAGGCCAGACTGCAGCAGCCGTAAGCACGCAAGTAACGAGTCCTGCGAAGTAGGCCAGCAGCATCCACCGCAGGCGCAACGGAAAGCGGAGGGCCCTGGCCCCCTCTATCAGCGCCGCTGGCTTCACCAACTCGAAGCACTTGTAGGCGTCGTAGAGGACGGTCAACGGGTGGCCCCTCAGCATCGTCTACGTCTCAGCGTCTAGATTGTGCTGGAAGGCGGAGTCCGAGCTAATCTTACCAGGACCTGCTGTGCCGAACATCGGCGGGCTGGGATGGTCGGCCAACCACGCCGCGGACAGGTCCTTGCGCATGCGACTCCACACCCACCCGTACAAAGGACTGCACCAACGCGATCACGCGATGACCGCCTCCTTCCTTGGGCAGCAAGACAAGCTCATTCAAAATGCGCTGGGAGGGCCAGCACAGCAGCAACTCACATCGTCGAAACAGCGCAATCAAACCTTCCAAAGCAACGTCGGACAAGAACGAGAAAGACCGAGGCGAGATGCGCAGCTGCCCCGAAGCCGTGGACCAGGAGAACGTCGCCAGTGCCGCCCTGAACTGATCCTTGGATACGTCAGGCAGGTCGTCCCAGGAGGACGCGTCGGAGGGCAACTGCAGTGGCCCCAACTCATGGATCCTCCAGATCTCTTTACAATCCTGAATGGCATCGTGCACCAAGGCGGAAGGGGAAGGGTCCAACCTGGCTTCGATGACCTCCTGCCGCGCTTTGACCTTGGAGGCCTGGTGCGCGCCGCGAGCTCCATGCAGGAATGCATCGTGGGCCCACTCCAACCATTTGGCCCGATTGGTCCTCCGGGCCTTGGACTCCAGGTCGTCCGCTTTCTCGACGATGGCGTACACCACGTCCTCAATGTCGCACCTGAGCAGGGCCCGCCCACGCTCCATGAAGAAATCCGCGGTCCACGCCTTCAGGTTCCGCAGGTGCCTGGAGCCCACTATCTTATCAAAGAACCTCGAGAAATTATCGAGCACCCTGGAGATCTCGCGGTGCTGGGCGGCAGTGCCGGGCCTCTCCACGCCGCGCAATCGCCCGACCAGATCGAACCTGCCGAAGAGGAGGAGGAGGAGGAGAAGGAAGAGGAGGTGGGGGAGGCGGAGAGATGGGGAGGACGACAAGGGGGAGGGGTGGAGGGGAGGGAGATGGACAAGCGCTCAGCTCTTCCTTCCCCCTGTCCCTCCTCTCCACCCACACCTCCTTCCACCTGGCCGACCGCTCCCTCTGCAAGGCCATGGCTCCCCCTCACGGGGGGGGGGAGAGGAGGGGGGGGGAAGGCAGGAGGGAGTTGGAGGGAGTTGGAGGGAGGAGGGAGGAGGGAGAGGAATGAGACTGGTGGGATGAGGGAAGTTGGTAGGGAGTGGAGAGCAACTCGACTTTGGGGCAATGCCACTCTTGCCCGACTGAGTACCCACTCCCCCTCTCCTCAACTCCACCCCACCCCTACCACTGACCATAATTCCTGGGGCCTCCTGGGCGATCCTGAGGTCTACTGGGCCTTTCGGGCCACCCGCGGGTTGGGTGGCAACCGGCGGCCTCCGATTTGGGCCGCATCCTCCTCCTCCTCCTCCTCCTTCTCCTCTTCTCCTCCTACGCCGCCTCCTCCTCGTTTCCGCCTCCTCCTCCTCCTCCTTTCCGCCTCCTCCTCCTCCTCCTCCGCCTCCAGTCCATTTCCTTGTGGATAAATCATCCCTGTCGCACCCCGAGACGTGTCGGTAGAGCGGGTCGGGCGTTTCGCCTGAGACTTCCTTACTAAAGATGGTCCTGACGCTTAGGTC